AAAAAAAAAAGATTTAGTCATTATTCTGTTGAAGGAATTGAGTCACATGAAAATGAATTATAGACATTGTGTATATAAATTTAGTAAATGGACTTGGATATAGGTATTAATTTTGATAAAAGTTTATTCTGCTTACTGAAAACGTACTTTTAAAAATTACTTAAAAGGAACAAGTTATAAAGTTAATTCTGTGTTCTTTATTCTTAGGGAACCTATTGATAATCTAACTCCTGAGGAAAGAGATGCCAGGACAGTTTTCTGCATGCAGTTGGCAGCAAGAATTCGACCAAGAGATTTGGAAGAGTTTTTCTCCACAGTAGGAAAGGTAACAACCTTTTTAAGGGAGGTCAAGTAGTAGGTGGAAATTGGAGTGCTTTAAAAGTTAGTATTATGGCAGGTAAAATGGAGAAAACATATATGCTCCAAGTTTTTCATGAGATTTATTTTTGTTATCCTGCCCATAAATAACTTTTTCCATATCTGTAAGTTAGTGTGTTAGAGTTAATGTAATTGCCCTTTCATCAAAATTCTTAAATAGTGTTGGTCAGGTAAGTGGGTCATCAAGATATGGGAAACTCTGGTTTCTTTTATTTTTGGTACTAGGGATTGAACCCATGCATGCTCTACCATTGTACGGTATCCCCAGTCTAATATTTTGATATTCGATCTTTGAATTTTTTTTTTTGTTTTGTTTTTAAGAGAGAATTTTTTAGTTTTCAGTGGACACAACATTTTTTTTTATTTTTATGTGGTGCTGAGGATCGAACCCAGCGCCCTGTTCATGCCAGGCGAGCGCGTTACCGCTTGAGCCACATCCTCAGCCTCTGGTCTTTTGAATTTGCTAAGGGTCTTGCAGAGTTGCTGAGGCTGGCTTTGTTTGAACATGGAGTTTTCTTGCTTCAGTGTCTGTACACCTTGTGATTACACCTGTGCACCACTGTGCCTTCTGAGAAAATGTTTTGATTCCCAGTCAGTGAGAAAAGTAAAAAAACGGAGGGGTTAGCTGAATGGAGGGTACTTGTAGTCATAGTCACTTGGGAGGCCAGCCTGGCAAAATAACAAGCCCTTTCTGGAAAAAAAAAAAAAGAGGAAAGGAAGAAAAAGTTTAAGGATTGATCTGAGTATTAGAGACCATCCTTAGTATGCATGAAGTCTTGGGTTCGCTCCTCAACACAAAGAAAAAAAAATAGAATGCCAATAATCCTTGAAATTTATCGCTTTTTTTGTGTCTCTGTGCATGCTGCAGTTTGAAGTCAGGGAACTTTATTTCTTCATACTTTGTTCCATCATCAATGCACCTTGTTTTCTGAATACATATTTTATATTCCTGTGTTTGTTTCTGTGGTACTGGTGGTCAAACAAAAGGCTGACAAAGTAATAGACAAAATGTTGTACCACTGAGTTGTAGTCCTAAACCTATTCAAGTAATTCGTGTCTGCTTTTGAAATAATTATATTCATATAGGTCACAGTGCATTATTGCACAAGCAGAATTCTATTAAATGTTTATTTTCTTTTCAGGTTCGAGATGTGAGGATGATTTCTGATAGAAATTCAAGACGTTCCAAAGGGATTGCCTATGTGGAGTTTGTCGATGTTAGCTCAGTGCCTCTAGCAATAGGATTAACTGGCCAGCGTGTTTTAGGAGTGCCCATCATAGTACAGGCATCACAGGTAATTTTTTTCTTAAGAATTGAGTTACTGATACTGGAAGCCTCCTACATCTTGCTGAAATGATATTATGTCCTGATGAGGTTTTATGTACATTAATCATCACATTACCTTGAGTCAGATATTAGGTTGCTTTATTGAAACTTTGTTGTGACTGCTGTGATATACTGTGTTCTTAACACCATATTGGTGCCACACACGTGTAATCCCTGTGAATCCAGAGGCTGAGTCAAGAGGATCACAGTTCATAGTCATATTCAGCATTTCAGCGAGGCCAAAAGAAAGTTGGCAAGACCTTGTCTCAATAAAAAGGTCTGGGAAGGGGCTGGGGATGTGGCTCAAGCAGTAGCACACTTGCCTGGCATGTGCGGCCCTGGGTTCGATTCTCAGCA